TTCCCATAGTCAATCCTATTAAGCTCCAAGCTTTCTGGTTTAAAAGCTTCTTTTATTTTAGGTATTTCGAGATCAAAAGGAAATTTTTCTTGTTGAAGCATTTGGATATTACCTGATTTTTCTTTAATATCTAATTTTTCAAATCTTTTCATCAGCTCATCTAGCAATTTTTTATTATCTTCTTTCCTTTTAGCTCCTTGCAGGTTAAATTTTCCTGTAGCAATACTCTGAGGCGGTTTGAATAAAACTGAGGTTTTATTTTATTTTATACGTTTTCTATTCTATTGGTCTGTTTCCCTATAGTCTGTAGGAATAGATTTGTATAATTATTTTGTTCTATTATATAGGGTATGGCTTCAATTTTAGCCATTTGGTTATCAGAATCTTTTGGTCCAATTTTGAAAGGTGAAGCTTTTGTCTTGTTTTTCTCCTTTAAGTTTAGACTAGTTTTAGGAGGATGGATAGCTTCAATGCTTTCTCCTTTAACTGTATGAAAGGTTTGAAAGGTGTTTTGGATAGTATTAATATTCTGGATATTATTATTCTGAAATTCTGAGTATTTTACTCCTTCCTTTTTAAGGATATACCTAAACCATTTAAAAAAATTTATGTTTGTTTTATGTTGAATCATAAATTTATTGAATTTACAATGAAAGAGTTCTTTTAGTGTTTCACTAAATTCTTTGAAGAACTATTCCCTTATTTGTTTATTTTCTTCAAACAAAAAATCCTTTTTTACCCATTCTTTATCTATGACAAACTTATCTTGAGTTTGAATTGTCAGAACGTCGAAATCGAATTCAGACATGGTTGGCTCATCAGGCTCAGTTTGAGAAGAGCTGGGAGTATTTATAGTATAAACTGGATGTTGTACCTATTTTTCATTTTTTCTTAATCCTTCTAAAATGATTTTGTCATTATGTACTTTTCAAAATTAGATTGAGGTACTGAAGAAGTCGAACTTCTAGAAAGAGTATAAGTTGAAGGTACAATAATCCTAGCACGCAGCCTATGAGCTAAAACAGTATTTGAAATACTCAATCTAGTTCTTCTAAGGGATAGAAATTGAATTTCAATTTCTCAATTTGGATATTTAATTATTTGTTCAGGCTCTTTATTTTCAAGAATAGGTAAACGAGTCTCAGTTTGTAGAGACCAATTTTCAGGTAAGTTTACCTGCTTCTAGCATATAGCTTTAGGCGTGATAAGATTGGATTTTTCCATATTTGTTTGAAAAAATATTGTTTTTCCCTTTTTATCCATTAATCTTGCATTCGGACAAAGAGTGTTCATGACCTTATAACAAATTCTATAAGCGAAAGCCAAATTCTGGGATCTAGGGTCCATGTCAAAACCTTGAGTTTTAAGGTCAAGGGTTAGCACTTTTAATAAATTTGGATCGGATAAGGACACAGAAAAATTTATAAAGCAGTTGAAATATATGGGATCATTATAGACACTCGACTCAACGATCTCCAAAAGATAGTCACTGAATCTTCTGTCTACTATCTCAAATAGCAGTAAAACCATTAACTAGAGAAGGATTAAACAATTCGGTTTAACTCTACAAATAAAGAATTCCAACTAAAGCCAGGCTAATACAAATGAATAGCAGACTCTTAGAAATTTGTAAAACTGAAATACAAGAACTCCTTGACAAAAAACTAATTAGAAAAAGTTCTTCACACTAGAGCTGTGCAGCTTTTTATGTAGAAAAAGCTTTGGAGATTAAAAGGGGAGCCCCATGCCTTGTTATAAATTATAAACCTTTGAATAATGTTTTGAGATGGATTCGCTACCCTATTCTAAATAAAAGGGATCTCCTTGATAGATTAATCAATGCCTGTATTTTTTCAAAGTTTGATCTAAAATCAGGATATTGGCAAA